TTACTCACCACATTATTCAGTGGAGTTTCAAAGAAAAATAATTGGATTTAATCAGAGATGACATTTTTAAGATGACTATGATATTGGAGTCCTGGTGTGGTGCTATAAGACAAGCTCTGAACTGTTAACCACAGGGTTGGTAGTTCAAATCTACCAGCCACTCCTCAGAAACCCTATACAGGGTTGCTATCAGTCAGAAATGACTAAGTGGCACATAATAACAGTAACAATGACATTACATTTCAGTGCAAAGCCTGGTGATAATGATAGTGTTGGGAAGCCATGTACAAGGAGTTTTAACATGTTTGTGGAAAATGGAATTCATTAAAGATAATGGAGTTTTCCCCAAAATTCTTTAAAGGCCCCATGTATATTGATAAAAAGAGGAATTAATAAGGGACACATGTGAAGTGTGGAAAAGTTGTAGTCAATTAACTGAAAGATCTACTGGAGTGAAATGAAAAGAAAGGTTAGGTGAAGCTTAAAATCTAGATTTTTGAAGTGGCATTGGTATTGACAACTTTGGTTGAGAGTTAGTAGATAAGATGGAATGTAAGAAAAGATGATTGAAAATATAGTTTCAAGGCCAGAATATTAGAATGCCCATCTACATAGAACTGAAGTCATCATGAACAGTAGTGAGACAATTGATGAACCAGATAGTACAAATCATCAATGGTTGTTATTGTTAGGTGCCATCTAGTCAGTATTGACTAATAGACCCTTTCAGGCTGTGAACAACCAGGTCAGCATTTCAAAACTACTAGCTATTCCGCAGAAGAAAGATGAGGCTTTCGGCTCCCGTAAAGATTTACAGCCTCGGAAACTCTGTACAGGGTCACTATGAGTCAGAACCGACTCCACGGCACATAACTACCACCACCATGAACAACAGAATGAAACACTGCCAGGTCATGCACCAATCTCACAATTGTTGCTTCACTTCAGCTCATTGCTGCTGCCACTGTGCCAGTCCATCTTGTTGGGGGGCTTCCTCTTTTTCTTTGACCCTTCCCTTTACCAAGCATGATGTCCTTCTCCAGAAAATGGTCCCTCTTGATAACATGCCCGAAGTATGAGAGACAAAGTCTAGCCATTCTGGCTTCCAAGGAGCATTCTGGCTGTACTTCTAACACAGATTGGTTTGTTCTTTTGGCAGTTCATGGTACTTTCAATATTCTCCTACAACACCATAACTCAAATGCAACAATTTTTCTATGGTCTTCCTTATTCTCTGTACAGCTTTAACATTTATATGAGGCTATTGAAAATAGCATGGCTTGGGTCAGGCGCATCTTAGTCCTCAAACTGGCTTGCCTAATGTGATACGTTGTTGTCCTGCTTCCATGAGTGTTGATATTGATCCTAGCAAAATGAAGCCTGTGACAACTTCAATCTTTTCTCCATTTATCTTGATGTTATTTATTGGTCCAGTTGTGAGGATTTTTGTTTTCTTTACATTGAGGTGCAACCCATACTGAATCCTATCAATGAATGAGGTATGATGTTTAGGATGTTGGCAGATTACTCTCACAAGAAGGGGTAGATTATCCTATAAAACAGCTCAGTTTTTAGAGGGGGACTGGGAAAGGAGAGTTAAAAAATCATCTAGAAGTGATAATAAATAACAAAGAAAGCTTCTCTTTTCTAAACCCTTAAATTCAGGAATAATAAACTTCTGAAAGGTGAATTATCCTCTACTTGAGGGACCGTGTTGCTGTTGTTAAGTGCCATGTGCTTGATTCTGACTCATACCAACTCTGTTTATGGTGCCCGAGAAGCAGCTAGTGGGTTTGAACCACCAACCTTTCAGTTAGCAGTCCAGTGCTCTTTATTAGTGAATGTTTTGTTGTTTAGTGTTTCCAATTCAGTTTCTACAAAGTGCAACCCCATGTAGGGGTTCTCAGGAGCAGCTGGTGAATCTGAAATACCGACGTTGAGGTTATCAGTCCACTGCTTATCCTATAGCACCATGCCTGGACTCTATTAGTGAATGTAAGCTGGACTAACAAAAAATTGCTAGAGTAAGGAATTGATAACCAAAGGTATAGTATTTCTGTATGTTCAGTGTAAATGATAAGCATGAGAAGCAGGAAGGGCAGGAGGGGAATGGAAGGTGTTCTACTTCACAGTCACTCAATGACAGATTGAGAGGCTCTAATGGTGTGGCACTATGGGTTAATGCCCTGGACTCCAAGTTCAGTTTGCAGTTTCAACCGCACTCTGCTGTTCAAGCTCCTTAGACCCTTCTCCGAAACCTAATACAGGGTCGCTATAGGTGGGAACCGACTTGATGGCACTTAACAACAGCAACAGCTGTTTTCTAGCTGTCCCATAAAAAATTCAGAGCCTCTTAAGTTCATGCAGTAGAGGAGAAGACATTTAGAAGTTCTTATACCTGCTTACTCATCTATGATTTGATGAGAAGCAGCATATGCCCCATAGTTCACTGGCCAATACCAATCATGTGTCCCCCCCTGCCATTCAGGGAAACATGGATAAGTAGTTGGTATCCTGGTATGGCACTGTAAACCATAAGGTCGGGGGTCCAAACCCACCAGTTGCTCCTTGGAACAGTGTGATTGTGAGTCAGAACTGAACATATGGAATGTTTGATGAGCTTTGCTATCTCTCAGACAGTCCTTCATTTCTGATTAGGAAAATATAGATACAGAGGGGGGAAAACTTATCTTTTTCATTATGCTGAGATTGTGGCACTACAGGTTAATGCACTGGACTGCAAAGTCAGTTTGAACAGCAAGGTCTGCTGTTTAATCTCATCAGCCGCTCCTCAGAAACACTATATAGGTTGCTATGGGTCATAACAAACTAGGCAACATTAACAACAACAAAATTTAATAGTCCTGACACCAGGCTTTGTTTACTAGGAGGGGCTTGTTAGCAGTTTTCTGATTGGAATGAATTTTTGGAGATTCCTTTGCACATCAATTTACATTAGTTCAGAGAAAACATGGAATATGGTATGGACAATAAAGTTTCATTCTGATCTCATATGAAAGGAAATTATTGATATGAAATGGTGGTAGTTATATGCCATGGAGTTGGTTCTGACTCATAGCGACCCTGTACAGGGCTTCTGAGGTTGTAAATCTTTACCGGAGCAGAAAGCCTCATCTTTCTCCCACGGAACAGCTGGTAGTTTCAAACTGCTGACCCTGAGGTTAGCAGCCCAATTCGTATCCACTTCCCTACGAGAGCTCCTTTGATATGAAATAGTTCACTCCGATTAAATTTATCCACCTCAAAAAAATGAAAACAAACCTGTTAATATTGATTATTGAACTACATCTTCTTAAGGTACAACACTTTTTTTTTTTTTTGGCCATTGGCCCAACACCATCTTTTTATATATAGCTATGTACTCACATTGGAATCCTGGTGTGATGCTCTAGCATAAAGCACTGGACCACAAGGGGTAGGTTTGAACCACAGGGTTGGAGGAAACACTATACAGGTTTGCTATGAGTCAGAATCAATTTGATGGCGCTTAACAACAACAATAATATTCATACTAAATCATTTCAATTGCTGTTGCACTTTACATAAAGAGAACTTATTTTAGAGATCTATATTAGTAAATGTTTTGAGTCTATTTGAAAGGTGCACTCCAGATTGGAAGTTTTGGAAAGAATGATTTGGAAAGCAAGTATTTATCTGCTTAACAAGCCCAAAGGACCTTGTTGTTTTCTATTCAAGCACCAGCTAGAAAAATCAATATTTTATTTTAGAAAGAAATGTGTTGGCAGTTTGAGAATTAACTGAATGGTTTCTACACAAATAAATAGTCAGAAAAGACAATGACAAGGATAGGGGTAGGAAAGGGGCCCTAGTCGGCAATGAGCTTTAAGACTGTTGCCACTTTTGAATACAATGACCTGAATAATGGCCATACTATTAGACGTTTAGGGTCTCCAAACAATTGCTCCTTATTTTACAGAAGCATCAGTTGCTTTCCTTACTTGCTTGAAATAGGACCATCTAAATTTTGAGCTTTTTTGTATGTTTCTGTACCAAGTCTGGTTGCTTAATGGACTTAAAGAGACAAAGTAAACATTCAAAACTTTAGAAAATAGCTGCAGATTTATCACAATTGTTTAGTCATTTCAGTCAAATTTATTTTACTGTTAAAACTGGTAATAATGAGCAATTCATTGTTGCTATATGTGTTTACATAAAAAGTAGCGGCATTAGTATTTTTATTTCCTAACTCAAATGTATCATTTTGTAATGTCAAATAAAATATTAATGTTTATTTTATATGCTCTGGGATATGAAATGAAAAGAATCAATTTTAATAAACACATGCATATATTCTTGTTATTTTGTTTATAGGTTATTTTATTTATGCTTATTGATTTCCTAGTTTGCTTTTCCAAAGGACTTAAGTGCCTTATAAAAGTTCATTTTAGAAAATAATTAAATATCAATAAAGAGAAATTCAGGTCTGTAATAAACCTGTATAGGGTAGAAGTTTGAAGAGACGAGGAAGAGGACACTTATGTGTAGTCCATTATGAGAATAGCATTTATATAAATTTTTCATAAATTCTACCATTGGTGAATAAATGAAAATTAAGGAAAATATGTACATTACCAAAAACATTGGAGCCATTGAAATATTATTAAAGAAACAGGCACTATTATACAGTTCAGTTAAGCTTTGATTTTTAATCCATAATGATTATAAATTTTCACTAACTTGATTAGTTATTCAATCTAAGATGTACAAGTGTGGTGATAAATATTTGCACTGAAAAGTCATAACCATTGAAGACACTGCTTTTTTTCTGCTTTTGTTTTTTAAATATCTTTTTCATTTACTAATTGAATGATAGCAAGAAAATCAATGTAGTAACAGCTGCATATACAATAGCATTTGATAGAATAGAAAAAAAAAAAAAAAAACTGATAGTAAACAGAGTGACAGTGCTAGGATGAAATAGCACAAACTGATTTATGTGTTTCTGTGAAATATTCCAGGTGTTGTCAAAGTGGATTATGGAGATGTGTCAGTCAGGAAAACACTAAGAGAAAATCTGAAGTGTAAGCCTTTTTCTTGGTATCTCGAAAACATCTATCCGGACTCCCAGATCCCAAGACGTTATTACTCACTTGGTGAGGTATGAATTATTTATTTTGATTAAGTTATGAATATATTTAGGAAATGGAGCAATTTCCTAAGGAGCTCAGTATTTTTCATATTATGAATAAAATGCTTTAAGATTTTAAAATAGACATTTTAAATGACTTCTCATATTTTATAAGGACCTCATAGGTCTTCATCATTGGAAGTTATAATTATAAAGGAAAAGTTTAAGACTGAATAAAAGTATTTTGTTGTTTCTATACCAATAGTTTTAGGATTTTTTGGTTTAAAATTTATCGTGGTGCCTAAGGAGCGTCAATTTATGTAGGTCACATCTATTAATATTCATGGTATTGAAACGAAAATAGAAAACTTTAAAAATATTTATGAATGTAGTGAAAATAATTATAATAAATGAGCATATGTTAGTATGATCATTTATATCATATTATAAATTATTGCAATAATGTATTTTTATGAAAATTAATTTTGTTGACCAACATGAAATCCATGAGAAGAGTAGCATTGTTTTTCAGTTTTGTAAATTTTGTTAATATCTGGCTTGGTAAAAGGTAGCTGAAGTCTTATTATCTATTTTGGTATTCAATCTGCTGTTATATGTATAACACACCCTGTTTTATTTGTGTCTCATCTCTGGAAATTCCATGTGCATTCTTGACAGAGTGAGAGTGAAAAATGACAAATAGTATCTTATTATTAAAATCATATTGATTTTTTAACCCTTTGAGAAACATTCATCTGTACAATTTTCTTCTAAATCATTGTTTTTAGAACTATATGCAATTGGCTTCATCATAACTATACAAACACCTATCTAAAATCTATTTAATTGCTCAAAATAAGAAATATTCCCTTGTGAACTATACATGTGCTACATACTGATTTTGGAATCAAAATATATTTTTATATTGGTCTTGACTATGCAACAAACAATAATAATGTAATGTAATGCTGTTGTTAAATGCTGTCGAGTTGGTTCTGACTGATAGTGACCCTGTATAGGATTTCCAAGGAACAGCTGGTGAGCTTGAACCACCAACCTTTCAGTTCAAACGACTTTGCAGTCTGACACATTAATCCACAGCGCCACACCAGGACTTCAATGTAATGATAGAGTGTCTAAAAATCTATGTCATTCAACCCAATATGTCTTGGGTCATCGGCCTTATTGCTTTGTAACTTTAATCCATAACATACATTACTTATAATTCACTGGAAAATAATGAAAGAAAAAGCTGACTTATTTTAATGGTTGTGGTACAGTGCCATATCTACACTCTATTTGTCAAATTTACACTATCTCATTAGTCATATAAATATCTCTATGAACTACTGTGGTATCCTAGTGTGGCACTGTATGATAAACACTGGACTGCTAAACACAGGTCTGCAGTTCAAACCTATACAGGGTCACTATGAGATGGAACTGATTTGATGACTTAACAACAACAAATTATTGTTAAATAATTTGTAAATTCTATAACTTATTGCTTGATAATTTATAAATATTTAACCGTAATCTGAATAATTTAATGCAAAGAGTAACATGCAATAACACCAATGTTATCACTTCTAGTTATGTGACTTTGGACTAATCAATTAACAGTCCTGTGCTATAGTTTTCTTCTTCTGTTTGTTTTTATTAACCAAGTTGAAGGAGACAAGGGTTGTTGTTGCCATTGTTTTCAAATATTCAAATATTCCTTTATTAGCATTAATTTCATAGGATTTTATATTCAATACATAGAATATATGAAAGTGCACAATAAACTCCAGAACATGATTTAGTGTTGTTGGTAAGTGCAGATGAGTTGATTCCGACTCATATCAACCCTGTATAGGGTTTCCGTGGAGTGTCTGGTTGGTTTGAATCACCAACCTTGTAGTTAGTAGTCCAGTGTTTATTCGACAGTGTCACACCAGGACTCTAATTATAATCTAATTCTACTGAAGATCCTTAATAAAATGACTCTATTTATTTAAATTTTATTTAAACATCCAATAACCTGACTTTGGACTTCTGTGTGTGGTGCTGTAGGATAAAGCACTAGAGTGCCAACCACAAGGTCATCTGTTCAAACCTATGAGCTGCTCCTCAAAAACCCTAACCAGTATTGCTTAGAGTCCTATGAGTCTTGATGACTCCGCAGCAATGAAAAACAACAAGTGTATGAAATCCATTCCACAGCACTGAAAAACAACATGGCATTGTCTTTAGGGGAAAGACGTTTTTCTATTGTTTCTCCCAGTTAGCTGTGGAATTCAGCTGAATTAAGGATATATGACCAGAACTGGCAACAAAGTAAAAATGAACAAAGATTACTGTTTGGAAAAATCTCTGGGGTCAACAATGTAACTCAACGTTCTGAAATAGAACCCAGATTTTATTTCCAAGTTTAAAACCAATTCTATGCTTCCCTACACTGCATCAGAAGAACCTAACCCAATTTTTAAGAAAAATGAAAATAGACTATAAACCAACCAGTATGCTGTGGACAAATTCCTTTGTACAGTTTACACATTTTAAATTATTTATAGTCTGTAATAGATCAGGTAGTCAGATTTTAGTTCACAGAAATACTGTCAAATGTTTTCTTAAGAAAATGAATGAGTTATTCTGAGTTTTTGAAATGTGTCCATGTAGGCGAGAATCTTGTATTGAGAAAAGGCCAGGCTCTGGAGTAACACAGAAAAGAATACAAATCTTGGCCTCACAGTTTATGACTTATGTAGCCCAGGTATCCTCTATAGTGCCTTTGTCACAAGAATAATGACAATAGTAGTCAGTCCTTCCTATCAGCGCATCCATGGATTTAGCCAATTGCAGAATGAAGATACTCAGAAGAAATAATGGCTCTTAAAAATAACTACAGAAATTAAGAACATCCAAACTGCCAAAGAAGTAAAACTTTCTCCATTTACAGATGATATGATTCTATAAATAGAAAACCCCGAAAACTCAGCAAAAAAAACTAATAAAACTCATTGAAAGATTCATCAAAATGGCAGGGTACAAGATCAACATAAAATCTCAGTCAGAGTCCTCTATGGTAATAATGACAGTACTGAAAAGGAAATTAGGAAAGGAATACCATGTACAATAGCCGCCCAAAGGATGAAATATTTGGGAATAAATGTAACCAGAGAAACAAAGAAGCTATACAAAGAAAACTACAGAATACTACTACAAGAAACCAAAAGAGACAAAAATGGAAGAATATACCATGCTCCTGGATAAGAAAACTTAACATTGTGAAAATGTCAATACTGCCCAACGCAATTTACACATATAATGCAATCCCAATCCACATTCCAATGACATTCTTTAGAGAGATGGAAAAATCAATGACAAATTTTATATGGAAAGGAAAGAGACCCAGAATAAGCAAAGCACTACTTAATAAGAACAAAGTTGGAAGCCTTTCACTCCCTGATTTCAACATTTACTACATGGCTACAGTGGTCCAAACAGTTTGGTACTGGTACAATGAAAGATACATTGATCAATGGAACAGAATTGAGAATCTAGAAATTAACCCATCCACATACAGCCAACTGATCTTTGATAAAGGGCCAAAGTACATTGGATGGGGAAGACATAGTCTCTTCAACAGATGGTACTGGCAGAACTGGAAAGTGATATGCAAAATATAGAAACAAGACCTTTACATCATGCCATATACAAAAAACCAACTCAGCATGTATTAAAGACCTAAATGTGATTCCCAGAATTATAAAGGTCATCAGTGAAACAATAGGGGCAAATTTAGGGCTCTAATCCAGGGCACACACAGACTACCAAACACTGCAAAAGTTACACAAACAAAAGAAGATAAAAATAGATTATTGGGACATTCTAAAAATTAGAAACCTATGTGTATCAAAAGATATCAGCAAAAGAGTAAAAAGAAAGCCCACCAAATGGGAAAAAAATCTTTTGTAATGATGTATCAGATGAGGGACTAATTTCTAAAATCTGTAGGCAACTACAACACCTCTACAAGCAAAAGACAAATAACCCAATTAAAAAATGGGCACAGGACATGAACAGACACTTCACCAAGAAAGAGATTTGGGCAGCCAACAAACATATGAAGAAAAGTTCACAATCATTAGCCATTGGTTGGTTATGTGCCATGGAGTCGGTTCTGACTCATAGAGACCCTGTACAAGATTTCCGAGGCTGTAAATGTTTACGGAAGCAGAAAGCCTCATCTTTCTCCTGTGGAATAGCTGGTAGTTTCGAACTACTGACCTTGCAGTTTGCAGCCTGATTCATAACCACTACGCTACCAGAGTTCCTTGCCATTTAGAGAGATGCAAATCAAAACAACAATGAGATATCATCTCACACCAGCAATAGCAGTGAAGTTCAAAAAAGCAGACAACAATAAATGCTGATGAGGATGTGGAGAGACTGGGACCCTCCTACATTGCTAGTGGGAATGTAAAATGGTCCAACCACGCTGGAAAACAGTGTGATGCCTCCTCAGAAAGTTGAAAATAGAAATACCGTGTGATCCAGCAATTCCTCTACTTGGTATATATCCACATGAAATACGAGCCATAACATGAGTAGATATATGCACAACAATGTTCATAGCAGCACTATTTACAATAGCAAAAAGATGGAGACAGCCTAAGTGCCCATCAGTGGATGAATAGATAAACAAACTTTGGTATATATATGAAATGGAATATTATGCTACCTTGAAGAATAACAAGGAAGCTGCAAGCCACCAAATAACATGGATGAACCTTGAGGACATTACACTGAGTGAAATTGGTCAGTCACAAAAGGACAAGTATTGCATAAGACCATTATTATAAAAGCTTAAGAAAAGATACCTATACTAAAAGGATAAAAAAAAAATTCTTTGTTGGTTACTGGTGGGGTGTTTGATGGTACAGTGGGGGTGTGGGTGGAGGGGATAGTAGAGCACAGGGTAGAGGGTAGACACCACATCTTAGTTTGGATATTGGGAGGACAATACACAAGAAGGCAGAGGGGGA